AAGGGTAAGTTTGCCTGTAAGGTGCTCAAATCCCGACAATCCCGATTCCGAGCGTCAAGTACACGAACTTTCCGTCGACCATCTATTAATTAGGGAAGCGGATTTGACTGCAGCAACAGATAATCTGTTAGCTAAAGTTAATGAAGAAATTAGTGAAATAGATAAAAGTTTAATTCACGTCGCCCAAGATACCATTTCAACAGAAAATTCAGAAAATTCTCAGAATCTACAACATATCAAAATAAAAAATCAACGGACCAATCAAGAAAAACTTTTAGACTGGTCTGCAGACGACACAGTCGAACCGACCGACCAAGGAATTAAGTTATTTTTAGATCAAGAGCCATTGAAAATAATGGAGGACCAAAACCAACCAACCGTGAGTGGTGCATCTGGACCGCAGTTGATTTCAGACATTTCAAATAATCCAGATTTAAGCAGACTAATTGATCTCAAGATTCAGGAAATCATGAGGACAAGAGGTAGCGTCAGTTCGAGACAAGAAGATTCGATATCAAATAATCAAATAGGACTTCAAGATGCGATCAGGTTATTACCCAAATCATTTGATGGAAAAGATACAGAAAATTTAGAAATTTTCCTTGAAAAATGCGAATTTGTCGTGTCATGTGTAGTGGAATCGGCAATTCCACGATTACTTCAGGCAATCCAAACTAGACTAACAGGGAAAGCAAGGCAGGTAACAAAGTTTAAAACATTCGAGGCATGGGAAGAATTACGGGAAACACTTAAAACCAGTCTTGAACCCCAGCGAACCACACAACATTTATTTTTGGAATTGTACGCCATCAAACAAAAAAATGGTGAAGATATTCTGACCTACTCGATGAGAGTAGAAGCCTTACAAAATCTGATCATCGAACAAGAGACTGCAGATTTTTCGCCAGAAATTGCTCAGGCGATGGAAATTTCTATTAAGAGACAGGTAATTCAAGTCTTTATGGAAGGCTTGGGAAACCTGAAAGACTACATCAAGGCCAGAAACCCTCTTACTCTAGATAAGGCCATACAAGCCGCCAGAGAGGAAGAGCGGATTAGGATGTCATCTGAAGAAGCGAAGAAACTTTATAAAGGGAACTCGATGACAACAAAAAAGGGGAATGGTTCATGCAACATTTGCGGCAAACCAGGACATTGGGCCCGCGATTGTAGATCGAACAAAAGTAATAATACAAATCAATCAAAAAATTCGAGTACACCACACGGATAGGGATGCCCAAACTGAATTTAATTTCGATATATCGATGTATCGATATATCACAATAACAAATATCGATATTTGATATATATCGAAAGATAAATATCGATATATCGAAATATCGATATAAAACTAAAGACTGATAACTGATAAGTGATAACAGTTAATTTATTTCATTATTTACTTTTAAGTTTAAACTTAAGTCTAAAGTCAGGTACAGGTCAGTTACATAATACATTGTTACAAATTAAAAATTCCATTAATAATACAAGAACAATAGTCAATAATTCAGACAAGAACAATAGTCAATAATTCAGGCAATCACACAGTAAGTAACATTAATAGTAACGACTCATTTTTCAATTCTAACAATATTGATATAATTTACAAAATGTGAGCCCATTGATTTTTATCGGTAGACTGCAAGAACAGAAGCTTTGACAAATTTTTGCCCGTCAATCGGTTTCTGGTTTTACTTACAGTTTCTCCAGCTTTACTGAACAAACGCTCGGATGGTACAGATGTTCCTGGAATCAGTAAATATTTCATTGCCAACTTGTACAGCTTAGGATATATTACCTTTGTGTTTTCCCATTCAACCAAAGGATCTTCATTTAATTTGATGACATTTCTGTGCAGGTATTGATTTAACTCACCTCTTGAATTATTATGTGTTAATCTTGTATCTGATCGCTTTTGTTCCAATGTTTTATGAAGACCCCATAAGTCATATTGGTTGTGATTACTTGGAGGGTTCACTGGTTCCTCTGGTACTGTGGGATTAATCATTTCATCATAATCGTTATACATCATTTTGAATATGTGTTCTTGAACTCTAGCATTAATTAAAGGATTCCTGAAATGCATATCCTTAAAACGCGGGTCTAATATCGTACAAATTGGAAGTATTGGACCTTGCTCATAAGCTCCACACCTGAAATCCAGTTCTTCAATCAGCTTTATTTTTAGTTGTATTGCTATGGTAATGGTAGGGCCTTGCTTCATTAATTCATTTTTCGTACATACAATTAATGGAATGACTTTGCTAGACATTACTGTTTTTTCTGTCGAAAGTTCTCTAGTTAACTGTTCAAAAGGTTGTAATAAAGCACACATTTCTTTTAAACAGTTTAACTCAGAGACAGATACCATCTCTGGTATATCAGTACCATTAAACTCAAGAAGCACTTGAGATAAGTAAATAGCCAATGTTGAAAACCTTTCAATCATATAAAATGAACTGTTCCATCTCGTCCTAACATCCAAAATTGGTTTTAAGTATTTACCTTCAATCGTACCTGAACAAAATATTTATGCTTATTAGTATATTTTTTTTAAATATAATATTTTTATTTACCTTGTAATTTTTGACATTTTCTTAAGGAATCACTTGCCTTAGAACTTCTTTTTACAAACTTTACTATTTCTCGTATTTTGGACATAATTGCTGGGACACCTCCACTTTTAACTTTTGTCTGGACATTGATTTCCTGTGTTTTTTCGATTGCTTTTTCTACCACTAGGTTTATAGTATGGGCCACACAAGGAATATGTTTGTTGGCAGTAAATTCATTTATTATTGCTTTTTTAAAATTAGCACCACTATCTGTCACGACCGCAACAACATTTTCTTTTTGCAAACTCCAGCTTGACAAAGTTTCTACCAATGTTTTCCCAATATATTCTGCCGTGTGACTTTGGAATAATTCCACAGTGCCAATTGTCTCTAAAAATTAATTAAAAATGTTGTTAAATACTGTCTATCAAATTATTTGTTTTCTAATAATTTTATTTAACACTTGAATGTATATATATAAAAAATAAATTAAACATTACTTGATTCCAGATGAGCTTCTACAATTGTATGTAATGTAACACTAAGAAAGCTCTTCATTTGCATGGTTTCAGTCCATGCATCGGTAGTTACAGCAACATATTGGACTTTGGATAATGATTTTCGAAAATCACCAGCAATTACATCATAAATGTCATCAATTCTTTTTTCTATTGTATTGCGACTAGGAAGTTTATATAATGGGCATATTGTCTTAATCATATTCTTGAACCCTTCATTTTCCACTGTTTTAAATGGAACATTATCTTTACAAATATAATATATTATGCTATTCGTAACTTTTTCTGATTTTGAACCACCTAAAGAAAAACAATTAACTTAATATTTAAAAAATAGTAATACATAAGAAAAACTGTTTAAACTATTTTTTTACTAATCATTACTAAAATAAAAATATTTTTCACTTACTTTCCATAGACGTCATTTGCGTAAATATTTCTGGTAGAGTTGGTTGAGTTTTTGAACGTTTGCTACAGTTAGGTTCCTTTAAAAAAAGATTTATATAAATGCTATTTTTAATAATTAATTAGGTTTTTTCATCAATTACAGTGTCAATATCTTGAGGATCATCCTCGTTATCCTCATTTTCTGTGTGTGCTCTTTTCTTCGCTTTCAAAACTGTCTGCGAAATTATTTTTCCGGGAACAACTTTATCTTTTGCATGTGTCGATAAGTGTGTCTTCAAGTTACCAATACCTCCATTAGGTGTTTTGTATTGTTTATCACATTTTTTACATTTATAATTATATTGGTCTATTTTAGTAAAATAAACCAACAACTCCTGTTTTGTTAAATTCACTGACATTATAGGAACTTAAAATCGCAAAAAAAAATTCAAATAATAAAATATAAATGCTATTTGACAAGGTTAGTCAAATGTTAGTCAACGTCAGTCGAAAAGTCCACTGTCTATCAATCATTTTTATAATCTAAAAACTAAAAATAATTTAAAAACAGATTGCCGCCCTAATACAATGTTCCACGACGCTGGTTTTTTCCAAGAAATTATCTTAAATTAATATATCTTATATCTTATCGTGGATATTATCCAGGTAATTTTTTCCCAACCACGGACATTTATATACAGGACTGGTAACGACTAGGAAGCGGGGGAGAAGAGTCTGTCCATGAAAAGTTATAGATGAGTTTTAGTTTAATATTTTTATTTCTTGTATAGTTGTATACTTGTATGTAATATACATAATATTGTATACATATTTTATATTATGTTGTTTTTATTATGGTTAATGTGTGTGCTATTTTAAATAAATTATTAATTATTATACTGTGTTTATGTATTATGGCAATTATATAAAAAAAAAAGATTTACGGAAAAACGGGTTTTACGATATATCGAGAATAATATATCGACAGGACTGATATATCGAATTATAAATATCGATATTTTCCTCTAAAATATCGATATATCGATATATCGATATTATTTGGGCATCCCTACACACGGAACCTCCAAAGCCACAGTTAACACGATCACGTGCCAGTACTGTAAAAAACTGGGGCATACAAAAGATGTATGCCGTAAATTAAAGTATGTTACCGGAAAAAGAAACGAAGCAGCAAAAGCTGAGACTTCGGAAAACCAAAATCAACCGGGCGCTTCCGGCGGACGTCCGGTAGGAAGCATAAATAGCGCCGTCATTACATTCCCAGAATCTTTACATTAAAGTCAAATTTAACAGATAATACTTTTACATGCAGAACATCTCAGACAATTAACCCCAATGCTAAATTTTTACTTGATTCAGGAAGTGACCTTAATCTAATCAAAATTGGTTCACTTTTGGATCAAGTAATGGTCTATGAAGATACTGTTTACTATTTAAAGGGCATCAACGAACAGTTAGTACCAACCTTAGGACGAACA